ACACCTTGGTTGTTAATATGAATCCTCATTAGTCAACAATAACTTATTATATAGTTATTATATTTTGTCAGCTGTGAGAATTATATGTTAAGCAGGTGATGGCACGCGGAAAGAAACATAAGTTAATTGAAGTTTAATTCTGAGAGTTGAAGTCCACCTATCTCAAAAGTTGTCATGGTTGAGAAGCCTTGAGTTAGAATATCAGAGAGAGAGAAAGAGAGGCAGAGAGAGAGACAGAGAGAGAGAAGAAACAAAGAGAGAGAGAGATGGAGAGACACACAGAGAGAGACACAGACACAGACAGAGAGATCGAGACAGAGGGAGAGTGAGAAACAGACAGAGAGAAACAGAGAGAGAAAAACACACAGAGAGAGACAGACAGACAGACACACACACACACACAAAGAGACAGACAGAGACACAGAGAGACAGAAAGAGACAGACAGAGACACAGAGACAGAGACACAGAGAATGGTAAATCGAATGGGTTAGTTCCCCAACTGGTAGCCAGAAAGGATTAATTAAATCCTTCAGTTCTCAAACAATTGACCATCTTGAGTGATTGGCCCCCTCTCTGGAACACCCCAGACATCAAGTTCGATTCAGGTTCATTCAACTGGCTGAATTGGAAGCCAAATGGAACCTGGCTGGAATTTGAAAAGGAGATCACCAAGAGATCACCAATTTTGTAGGATGGAACAGGGCACTCTGGTTCAGCACACTGGGGTGTGTGTGTGTGAGCATCAAAGGGGCTTTTTGGGGGGGAGGTCTTTGGGAAAGGGCAGCTTCTGAGCAGGGTTACATTTCAGGTGTGGGCAAACTATTTTCACCTCCAGCCTTGATATATCATGAATTGAGCCCTGTTTTTCTCGACAGCAGGGGGCAGCACTGAACTGGCCCTGAGGACAGCTAAGCAGGGTTAGGCCTGGCTGACACCTGGATGGGAGGCCTTTAAAAAACAACAACCCAGAATTGCAGGCTTGGGTGGGTGGGGAACATCCCTGACTTACAACCATTCGTTTAGTGACCGAAGTTACAATGGCACTGAAAAAAGTGGCTTATAACCACTTTTTTTCCACATTTATGTCCAAACGGCCACACAATCAAAATTTGGATGCCCGGCAGCTGACTCGCATTTATGACGATGCAGGGTCCCCGGGGTCACGCGATCCTCTTTTGCAACCTTCTGATGTCGGGGGGGAGGGGGAGAGCCAGATTCACTCAACAACCGTGTGACTCACTTCACAACAGCAGGGCTCCACTGAACGACCGTGGCGAAAAAGGTCGTAAAACTTGGCAAAACTCACTTATCGGATGTCTCAACAGAAATTTGGGGGCTCAATGGTAGTCGTACGTCAAGGACCACTCGGAGTGACTGGGAAATTTTTATTTTTAAAGAATGTCAAACTTTACCCAGAAAATCGCTTACAGATGTTCGTGAAGTCTGAATGTGACAGCTGAAAAGATTATAGGAAGATGGCTTCCCATTACTCACGATGCTGCTTATCTGCTTAGAGCTCAAAGCATCGTTAGAGACCCCACACACCCACTTCACGGTCTGTTTCTGTAGCTCCACTGTGGGAGGGGGTTTCGAAGTATCCATAGCAGGACTACCAGATTCTTTAACAGCTTCAGTTCCTTAGGCCATCCATCTTCTAAATTCACAGGATTCTCTCCCCTCCCCCACATGTATGTGTATACATTTGAGCTAGACTGTGATGTTTCTCTGTGTCATGTATGTATGTGTATGTGGGTATAATATGCATAATAGCTATCTTTAAGAGCTCAATGCAACAAAATTTCATTTTAATGTATGCTGATTAGTGTACATTTAAAGTGACAGTAAAGATTCTATTCTATTCTATTCTATTCTATTCTATTCTATTCTATTCTATTCTATTCTATTATTCTATTCTATTCTCTATTCTATTTACCACTATCTATTTTTCTATTCTATTTTCTATTTTCAACTCTATTCTCT